GGTTAATCAACGAGTCCGGCTTTGATGACGTCGGGGAATGTTTGAGGAATGGCCGCGAAATCCAGTACACCCATTTCCAAGGGTCGAGTCACGCCCGTCTAGATCGAGCGTACGTTTCTTTAGATTTGATACCATTATGTTTTGAATATCGCGTGCACCCTGTTTCCTTTAGTGATCACTGTCTAGTTTCCTTTTGTATGCGTAGTAAATCCCAAGCCAGGAAAGTTTTCAGCTGGGAATTATGGAAATTGAACGCGAAACTGTTGGATGATGACGTTTTCACTGCCCAAGTGCAGGCCGCGGTCGAAACACTGCAGAGCCAGAAAAAATTAGGGTATGGTGTGAGATGGGAGCTTTTTAAGCAGGAAATAAAAATGAAAGCGTTAGAGCGGGCAGGCGTACTTAAAAGCACTGAAAGGAGCAACGAAATGTTATTGCGTAATAATTTGCGGATACTGCTAAAGGAAGAGACTAAAATGCCTGGGGCATACAAAGATGATATTTCTTGTGTGAAAGATAAACTCGAGATTCTAGATCGGGAACGATATTGTGGGGCGATTGTTAGAGCCAGAGCCGAAAGATGGTCAACAGGCGAAGCGCCAACTAAGCGTGCGCTGAGCCTCGAGAAAAGATATGCTCGGCGTAACGAGATAACGGGGGTAGAGAGGAACGGATCACTTACGACCGATAAGGAAGAAATCGAACTCGCATTTTTTGAGTATTACAGTAGATTATTTGCGTCCTGTCCAGTAGATGTCCAGCTTTTTAAAGATGAATTTTTGGGTTTCATGCCGCGCATAGATGACGAAACGAAAGAATTACTAGAATCGACCATCAGCGTGGAGGAAGTGGTCTTTGCAATAGAAGCCCTAAACCCGGGAAAGTCCCCTGGCCCAGACGGCCTAAGTGCAGTTTTTTTTAAGACTCAGAAGCACGAGATTGCCGCAGTCCTAGCCAAGGTATTCAATGAAGCATATGATTTGAATGTGTTGCCTCCATCTTTTATGTCGTCGCACACAGTGTTAATTCCCAAAACAGATGACGCAGTTAAGTTGCAGCACGTCACAGCGTATCGGCCGATCAGTCTGACTAATGTCGACTACAAAATTTTAATGAAGATCTTGGCAAGGAGATTGCAATCTGTAATATCGGAAATAGTGGGGCCCCATCAAACTTGCGGCATTAAAGGAAGGACTATTTGCACCAACATCCATAAAGCACGCAGTGTTCTGGAGTGTTGCGACGCAATGCGTACTTGCGTTGCGATGCTCCAGATAGATTTGGAAAAGGCTTTTGATCGCGTGCCTCACGACCTGCTTTTAACCATTCTCGATCATGTAAACGTCGGCGCTGTTATCCGTGAAGGTGTCAGCATGGCGTACAACGGTTGCTCGACGAGACTTATGGTGAACAAGTCGGTTGGAAAACGTATAAAAGTGAATCGATCCGTCCGCCAAGGGTGTCCTTTGTCACCACTTCTTTTTTGCATTTACATAGAATCCCTTTGCATTAGTATCTTTAAAAACAGTACTATCAGTGGTTTTCAGCTTCATGCGACCGAAGTTAAAGTGTTAGCGTATGCTGATGATATTGCAGTGTTTTGTTCCAACCGCGAGAGTATTGTTCAAGTCGTTCACACGCTTAAACGTTATTGCGAAGTCAGTGGCAGCTCTGTTAACTGGGCCAAGTGCCTGGGATTTTGGCATGGAGAGTGGAGCTCTACTCCTAGTTCGTTTGCCAACATGCAGTGGGTGACCACCCCCATAAAATATTTGGGAGTGCCTCTAGAAAATTATCGCGATAGCGAACCCTATTGGCGACGGCAGGTAATGGAGCTTCGCGAAAGAGTAGAAAAAAGTCGGAGGTATGATCTGTCTATTTTTGCACGGGCCACAGTTTGCAATTTGTTTTTTGTCAGCAAACTGTGGTACGTTCTACAAGTTTTGCATTGTTCGCGGGTAAATGTGCAGAAATTGCACCGGGTATTTGCAGTGTTTATTTGGGGTTCCACGTGGGAGCGATCGAGTAGGACGAATCTTTTCCGGCGCGTACGCAATGGGGGGCTTAGTTTGACGCATTTGTTTTTACGTCAGGTTGTTAATCGGTTCATGTATTTTCGGGACATAAGTGACCCCTTTTTGCGCACCGTTTGTCAAGTGAGAGTTGCAAGCAGGTTGCCTGAGTTGATTGTTTCCACGTCATCGATGTCGGGTGGTATTCACGGATATTTAAAGGAAGTCGTTGCCTCATGTAAATTTCTGTTATCTCGTTTTTCAGTTGAGTATTTGAGTGAGGTTCCTCGGAAAAGATTGTATAAGGCTGTGTGCGATACTGTGTTTCCTGTACCTCTATACAGAGCTTTATACTGTGCAGGCCCAGGGCAAGATGTCTTGAAGCGCGTCAAGCGTATGGTGGTGCCCGCAGGCACCAAGACTTTCTTCTTTACATTACATTCAGGTACACTGCCGGTCAAGACATGGCTAAACGAGAGGGGACTTTTTGTACCGTGGGGGGATCACTGCTTTTTATGCAAGAAGCCAGAGACGGTCGAACACGTGTTTCTTGAGTGCTGGGATGGGGTCTTCTTCTGGGACGTCCTCCAACGTACCCTGAAGAAGGACCTCCCCCTGGATGCGCATGGAATCCGTTATCTATCGGTTAAAAACGAGGAAGGTTTTCCCTTTGACCTGGTTATGCTGTTGGGTCTGCACAGTATTTGGAAGTCCCGAATGGCTCTACACAACGCTGACAATAATGTACGTGAGGCGCGGGAATATTTTCGTGAAAGTGTATCTTTGTTAGTTGAAGTCAACAGAGCACAGAAGTGCGTGCCTGAGTGGCTTCCGCGCATTGAGGCACTTTTGTCCATGAAACAATTTTAGCCTCCGACGCCAGTCACTTCGGACTGGTTTAGTTTGGCCTTGCCCTGCTTCCTATGGTTTGAGCGATATGCCTGCCTATTTGACAATGTAAAAAAACCCGGCAATAAAGAAAAAAAAAAAAAAAAAAAAAAAAAAAAAAAAGGATCGGTGGCCGAGTGGTCTAGCGCACACCAGCTCGGAGCACGTGGAGCGAAAGCTCGCGCTGCAGAACCCAGGGATCCTGGGTTCGAGCCCTACCCCTGCCCGTTTCGATCTGGATGAGCATCGTACCGGCGTGCGGTCGTGTATCGCTACTGCGTGATGCACGTTAAAGACCCCAGGCTAGCGGCTGTACCGCACTGGCTAAATTTCTCATCTACAGCTGGGAGACTCGTCGCCCCTGTGAGGCATACCAAGTTCTAGGCTGTATAAACACACACACAACCCTATTATTACTATTTTGCTTGTTCTTTTTGATCCTTTTCTTTCTCCTGGCTTTTGATGATCGATCAGAATCATGCAGACGGCCTAAATTTGTCAATTAACATAACATTTCTCATTTATTCCTTTGCTTTAACATTTTAGGCGTCCAATGGTACTCTACCCATCGCTATTGTCATTGTTTCCGACTGACACTAATTTATCCCGTGTGGCACCGAAACATTTGAAGTGACATTCGATGCGCTGGAGTGCACTTGGTTGAAGTGCACTAAATCAGCCCGTCTGACTCGGGTATTAATCTCTCTATGCCGCTGGAAGGTGTTCACGAAAACCTCGTGATCGTAACATACTCTCGTTTTTCCTCACCTATATTTTCTCCCATACCCCAGTTTAAATTGTTTTAATATTGTTTCGTCCCGTTGGTAAGTACAGGAAGCAAATGAGGAAGCGCCATTGGTCGAAAGTGGGCTGGGCGTGTTCCGGGGCGCGTTCACAAATTCGAATGAAGAAGACGCAAATAATACCCTGGTGGTGGTCGCGAGAAAAAAAAAAAAAAAACAAGTGCGTCGTAGTAACTCTTGGTGACTGAAAATAAGGTGCTCGTGAGGTTTTGATCACGGCAAGTTATCCGTACGCCAGGCGCCAAAAGACCGCACGTCTGACCTCTGAACGTTAGGACCCTGTCCCAGCACAATAGAGTTCGAGGGACACATTCGTTTCTTCCATCTTTTGCATGATCATAATCTAAACATCACGTGCACCATACTTTCAAACATGAGGAGTTACTACATTTAACTCTTACGCACTTATTAAAAGTGTTTCCATCTACCACCACTAGGGGATTACTTTCGGCTGCTGGTTGGCCAAGAGAGCATGCCCAGCCCTCTATTTGTGTCTAGCGCACGACCTCGCTCTGCCCGCTCCTCCCATTGACCAAACTCGCTCTATAGACCATTCCGTTTAGCGCTCTCAAGGCAGCGCCATTTTGTTCGACCGCAGCGCCCTCTCCCCACATCCGGGAAGTGCAGCAGGTTCGGCGGGTTAAAGCGAGAGAGGGCACGCGCCCGATTTCGCTAGCAGACGACAAACCGGGAGATTGCCGCTCTCTATCTTTGGGCTGTACTGGCGGGCTGTACCGAACATCGAACTTTCGCTCGTAGCTGCCGTTGTGAAGTGGTTCGCGTTCTTAGAATATTTATAGCCACACCAACATCAACCTATAGCGCTCTGTTATATTTCTGAATCAATGTGCGTATCTTTGTTCCGTTACTTCAATAGCGGTGGAGTCAGCGGCCAGTACTATCCTCAGCCACACCGTCCATTGCGTCAGGAGAGCACGCTTTTACTTATTATTCCAGACTTCCACTCATTACCGCTGAAAGCTTACAGCAGTACGAACTTTGTATAGTAAAAAACCTACAGCAACCGGATTTACTTTTCGCCGGAGGACCACGGTCACTCTAACACAATTATATATATATATATATACATACATTTTTTTTTTTTTTGCGCAGGTACCAGTGCAATAGGACCCGGTTAGTTTTTTTTTCTTTTTATCGAGCATAGCATAACACGATGACTCGCATATAAAAATCCGCGCATCTGCACTTGAAATTTCCAAAAGGAAGCTTTTTTTTTTTTCATGATTGTACTCGTTTGGTTGAAAGGGCGCTCAGTTCGAACGTGAGTCTGGCTCACCTGATCGAGCTTGAGAAGCTCGTCGGGTGTCGACGGGAGCTGACCCAGCGTCAGACTGGGCTTGAGGCCCGCTTCGTCGCCCAGGCACCGCACGATCGCCTCCCGGTCATAACGGTTGGCGCACACGCACGACGCCGGGATCAGGCCGTGCAGGTTGTACGTCACCGTGCGCAGCATCACCCTGCAAAGGAACAACGCCCCGACGTGCTTGAGATTGGTTCAAGTTTTGGTAAAATTTTATGAGACACTTTGAGGGATATTTCGGAGGAATACAAAAGTTAAACATTTTTAAGTGCTTTTTACAAAGCGTCTGAAGTTAGTTTAAAGAGTTCGAGAAATAAAAAATATTGTATAGTTGAGTTTGATTCGAGTTTGGTGATAGGAAGAAGTATAGAACCCTGAGCAAGTGGAGGCAATCTCGGCGAAACGAAAATAAATAACTCAAAAAGGCAGTTGGGGAAAACGAATCATCGTTTTCTGGAACATTCCATTAACCCTTCATAATTTATTTAGTTCATAGAAGCTCATGGTCTGCTTGATTCAAAAATACTCGATGGGCAAGAGAAATAAAGCAAGGAGAACGGCGTGTGATACCAGCCAGCTATTCTTTTACGATGTGTTGATGTTTTGTTTTTGTGCCACGTTCTTAAAAGTTCTATAAATATTTTATTTTGGTACGTACTGTGTAACTGAATTCAGCCGTTTCCTTAATCCTCAAAGCACATTCACTTTTTTTTATCTTCCCAATGCTTTATTTCGTTTCACTTTTAGAGGAAACGTTTTGTTAATCATGTTCCTTGATACTCCTTTTATAGATTTATTTGTTTAATAATAAGAACGGCTAGATAAAGTAAACTTTTAAAATAATTCTCTAGATACCTCATAAGACCCAAACAATAAAATAAAAAATAGAAATAAAATTATTTTTAAGTCAGAATGAAGTCAAAATCGACTTTCTCTATACCTAAAGCTTTAAACCTTTAGGCACCAAATTATTGCGTTCGTTTCTCGTTCTGGTATTAATCCTCATTTTAAATTACAAAAAAAAAAGTTCCTTATTGCTACTTTTTTTTCTACTCTGCTCATCGTTTTTCTTCTCCCTAGTTGCTGGGTTAAATCGCTATGGTTAACGCTCCCCAACTGGCCTGATATTTTTTACTTCTAGTTCATCCTTAGGTTTGATTGCTTTAATTAACTACGTGTTGCAAGTTCAAGCAAAACCCCGAGAAAATTAAATTTAGAGCCTAGAGCAGGGGTCTCTACACTTTATGGCTAAGGGGACGGATTAGGTGTCAGTCGCAGTCTCGAGGACTAGAAGGTAATTAAGTACATATAAACGAGGAAAACAAAACACTGAATAAACAAAGGCTAGGAACGCAGATACAGATGATCAAAATTAAAGTGGGATCAAAATAAAAAAAAAGAAAAGAAACCCAAGGTGCGTAATTAGAAAACTTACTTGCGAATAATAAGACTTGCGAGTAACGCAGTTTAATATATCGCGTAATTTAATATTTATCTAATTATTGCAATATGCGACAAAGTCGAAAAAAAAAGAGCTGAAGTGTTATAAATTAAAGCGAATAGGAAAATTGGCACATTTGCAGAGTTTGCAGAAGACTGATGAGAATGGTTTGACTGAGGATGACCATACACAATACTTATGACACAGGATGGCATAGGCCCATCATACATGAGAACGCGAAATAACTTCAACGTAGTTACGGAGACATGAAACAGGGGAAAAAAAGTGGAGATGCCGGTGATGACAACGCGGAATAAATATGGCACGCAACCATCAGAGGAAAAGAAGAACCAGAACGGATACGAAGCGTTTGGTGATCGTCGAGGCGCCGTTTCTTCACACGCGCTTATTTTTGCGTCATTAGTCCGGGCGTCGCTGCAAGAACGGTGGCCAGCCGCGAGACGGATCTGACCCGCGGCTGGTTGAAGGGTGTTTGGAGAACCCTGGTCTAGAGTAAGTTTAGCATTAGACGTAAGCTTATCGTTTTGAACAGAGATACGAAGCGTAATCGAGCATTTAAAATGTGACCATTATTTCGTGAAACGCAAGGTATATTTTTAACGCGTATACCCCCCTAAACCACCCCTGGGGTGCTATTCTGGTCACAAACTTTCACGTTCGAGTTTCTCGAAAACTCCTCCCCCCCCCCCCCCAACGAACCGCGCGCTCCTATTGGCCACAGCGCGCGTGATAATTCCACGTGGTTCCCATGCACGCGGTTCCGATGCTTGTTGCACAACGATGGCTCGACCAACGCGTACAATGACGGGTTGTCTGCGAGCACGCGGTTGCCTCCGCGATGAACAACGACTGTTTCTGGCGGCAATTACCGATTGTCGAAAAGCACCGTGCGATCGCAAAAAGCACCGTGCGATCGGATATTCAACATTATCAGGAAAAGCGAAATTTCCTTTCTTTTATGCATTTCATGTTTCTGTCTTTATATGCATGCAGGCAAAGCACACACTTGAGAAAACACTTGTGTGAAGGCTGCGTTCACGATGCAGTTCCCGTCAAACTTTCAAGGCGTTAACAAATTCCAGAAATTCAATTTTCAACGAAACGCGTTAGTTTTGCAAAGCGCTGGCAAACTTACATTGCGTTTTACATCATTCACCTTTGACGTCCGATGAATCAGTAGTCAGCACTACACAAACCTAAATGAGCTTGTCGTTTGTTTCCTTGCCGTTGGGGCGATCACTGGCGGTCGTGGCGGTGGCACAATTCTTTCTCAAACCGTTCGCTGCTGCCTCCGTGCTCGCGGAAGCGTTGGCCACTTTGTGACAAGGTGAGGTTTTGAATCTTAACGCATGGCAACGCTGAATGAAGGTCTATTACCGTCTTCATAATCTCAGCAAGGCTGCCGTTACGAGCCACTACACCACCAGTTTCAAGCTTCATAACACCGGCACTAATACATAAAAGCCAAGTCTTGCATCTCGCCGAGTGTGGTACCGGAGACGTTGAACGACAGCTCATCGTGCTCTTCAACCCGGTCCTGCCATCGAATGGGCTCATCCAACAGCACGAAGGCATTCGTGTGCTCTTTGATCAAGTTACCGATCGCATGTCAAACCCCAGCTGCGGTTGATCCGACGAGCATTGCGGCGATGTTCTTCCGAGTTTATCACGCCAAGGGTACGGTTGTCGAGTTAAAACAATGCAAACACTCCCGTGCATTATTCTTCTTACGTCATTTTGTCGTCACAACCCGAACTCAAAAAGCGACTGTTAGCGGCAAAGAGAGGCTTTCTAGTTTTACGACGTTCCCATGGCAAAGAGCGTTGAATCGCCACGCGCAATGAAGCCAATGCGATAGCGAGGTACCTATGTAGGGTCGTGTAAAAACGTAAACACCGTTTTCTTTTTTTTTGCACGAGCTTTTTTTCAAGTAAAACACTATGTAAAAAAGAGTGCCCGAGATTATCCGGTCGCGTCCATTTCTTCAGCGCCGCAAGGAAAGAGCATGGCTTATGGGGACTACCGTCGTAATCACTGCAATGAGCAAAGGAAGCAAAGCATTATTAAAACTGTGCGAAGAAACTTTCCTGCATCATCCACAGCGTATTCACAACCGGTGCACTCTGCGCCGATCTCATGACTTGTCATATATTACCACAAAGTCGTCGTCAGCGCTGTATCCTTTTTGGAATCTCCTTCACAGGCAAACAGGAAATTTCATTTGCAGCTTATGTTCATGGCAGCTTCACAAAGGATGATCGGTGACGCAGCGTACCTTCGCATATTATTTTCTTCTCGTAATGCCATCCGTATCGTGAAGAAACAGGGAAAGGAACGACGGGAACGAGGCACAAACACCACAAGGTCGTTACCACAATTTTCACAATGTCTGTTTTGAAAGACCGTAGCGAAAGACTTCGAGAAAACAAGTTGAGAGATCTTAGCTAAATTTACTTCACGTCATAATTATTGAAATAATCTTTTGTATTTTATAAAGGGATAATATTATTTTCTCTGTTTCCTTCCATTTTCCGGGAGGTAGCCTTTTTACCGTTGTTCGCTCGTTCTAACTCCCAGAGGAAAGGCAGAAGATAACAAAAAGAACAGTGGGAAGTGCGGAGATTTCTGCGCCCCAAGTGCATGGACACGTCATCGTGACGTAGGGGGATGGTCAGATTCTAGCTGGCCGCGTGCGTGAACCCGAACGTTGGGGCGAAGCCTCAAACAAGAATCATTCTAGTTTGAGTCGCCGCCCCAACGCTCTCCTTACGTCACTTTCTTCAGAATATAAAGAGCCAAAAAAACGACAAAACAAAGAGGAGCATAAACAGGACGAGGCGCACTCGCAACTAAAACATTTTTTTTCATAAATAAATTTTAGTTGCGAGCGTGCCTGTCCTGTCGTTTTTTGGCGCTTTATGTTCTGATCATGAACCAACCGGCCCAAATTTCCACTTTGCGTCACTTTCTTGTTTGCGACCAGAATAGCACCCCAGGTCACGTGAGTATAAAATGGGACATCTCAGAGTTTCCTTCGATTAAAACCTGAGATATGATGTGACGTAACGAATGATTCACTGTTATTCACGATAATCAATGAACCTAATATTAAACGCAATCTGAAAACCCTGTCACATTTATACCGGTCGTCTGGTGTTCGTTAACTCGCTTTCCCGGCTTCGGTCGAACTCTGGGAGTATCACACGGATTTCATAAAGTGTCCTTGTTATGCGCTTTATTACGAGCATATACAAATATAAACTACATTTTGAAAATCGCTTTCTCAAAACAATTAGCCGCCTTAAACTGCGCCGCAGCTCTGAAACCATTAGCATAATCTTGCTCAAAAATAATATATACAAATTGCGGAGGCATTGTTTTTATGCAGATGCGTAAAATAACTTAGCGACCCAGGAATCTCTTGGTCGATGGGAATTTCAAGATATAAGGTAAGCTGACAAGGCTACGATAATTTGCACATCAGACACCGCTGCTTTTCTTATCCCGGTAATCATACAGGATAATTTCAACACTTGTAATTTAAGAGCACATTTAATTCGCTCTTGTACCTAAAACGTTTTGTTCTAAATTAAAAAAATATATATAATCGACTTCCTTTTTAGTGTCTGCTTCAGGCCCGTTTTACCCCTAATTGTGCTATCTTTTTCTTTTTTTTTTATAAAATGTTTACGGTA